GAACGACATCGGTAATCGAGTGGATCAAACTTACGTCCTGTAAAGTAGCAGTGGAACAAAATAGGAACCACAGATCATTACTTTGATATCACATTATCAGAAAGCAGAAAGTTTCGTCAAAGCAGTACTAACTAGCGTTGAGTCCCAATCGAGCCTGGTCTTTCAATTAAAACACATAAAATGAGCAAAATACCGGATGAACATGTGAGGAATCGGAAACGTGCAAATTATTTTTCAAAAAGCCCCTCCGTTTCCGACAAAAAAGGTTGTTATATATGCATGGAACAGATGATCCTACAAGTGCTAAACAGCCTTAAAAATGCAAACGCATCCACCGGTGGGACAAGTCCCTTAAAGATAGCTCGAAATACTGCTGGGAATTTCCTTTTACGTATAGATGTCTGAGCCCAACCTCGCCCAACCAGGTGATCAGGACGTACTTTTACATAATTTGTGCCTTTTGGCATCTGCTACGAATGAGCACGTAACACACTTTAGGTTGGCCATTATTTATTGTTAGTATTGTCGACGTTTGGAATCAAACTAGTCCAACTATGGCGTAATTGGACTTACATCTGTTGAACAGTGTGATTTCGCCAGCAGATGTTTTACACTTATTTTTTCACTTTCCGCTGGTGCATTTTAATCAACTCAAAAAGAGCTGACATATGCAACAAGTCGTCTAAGTACTTTTCACCAACATGATGAGAAAGTATCATGCTTATAGAGTTGTTTCAGCATTAGCAGTTGCTTTGGCATTATATATATTTATATGTTATATATATGTAAATATCACTGACGTAAATACTGGATTTGAAGCACACCATTTTGAATTGAGATTCCTTCCTTAACACTATATTTTGTGCTGCTCTGATACGGAAAATCCTGAAGTCTTGAATCTTTGAAATACCCGTGAATAAAACGAATGCTGACACGTTTATGAGTGAAATACAAAAGCTGACCCGATATGAGCACAACGAATAGTCTGAAATGCATTCCAGATTCATTCCATATGTTTGTCGATGTTCAGGTTTGCACGGCAGAAACAATCCACCCGGCTAAGTACGACAAGCAATCTAAAGATATTGACGAGATTAGGGCAGAGTTGTTCCGCCATTGGTGTAGAATGTCATTTTATTTTCGCGGTATTGGATTTTAGTCTCATCTCATCAGCTGGAACGTGTAATACAGCCTCCACAAGCTGAGTTAAAATGTTCCCATCCAAAACATCCATGTTGGACTAACTGTAAACCATATGACTCCAACCGACAAAGATGTAAGTCTTCCGTGTATATCAGGCCTGGAATTTGATTTCCTAAACGAAGTGGACTAAGATACTTGAAGTTCTTCGGGGAAGTTTCCATTTGTCAACCAAAACGCACTTTAGAAGTGGACGCGGTGGCACCCACCAAACGTTTAGCAAGTCAATATGAGTAATGAATCTTCACGATCATCACCTATTAACTCAGAAGCTCTGGACTCTAGGTTGATATAATATTCTCTGTGTACCCAGTATTGTTTCACATGTTACGTGAAAAATGAGGAGGACCATCTATGGTTTATCCAGGCACAAAAAGATGAATTGTCAGCCGATAAGGTTATTTACCGTCAAAACTGGTTTTACTTGTTGACTTTCTGAGATGGACGTATAATCACCGACAAAACATCGTTTTTTCCCTGTCAGTTGTTCCTGTCATATGAGCCTATAAATATAGGTTCTACACTGGTTCTAAACACTGTTCGACAGTTTCTTTCTAGTTTAATAGTCGTAATATGTACACTTAAGCTTGTCAAACCTATCAGAAGAAACAATTTAACCATTCGTCTACCACTCAGGAGATGTGCCCTCCAAAAAGGCATCTGGGAAGCCCATCGGTTTAAAACTCCATGTACAAAAAAGGGAGATCTAAAGTTCACTTACTCTGATAGAACGGTTTATAATCAAATCCAAGTACTCGTAAAGGATCTATGTTGGCAAATTTTGTGCTTTTGAATCGAAGTAAATCTGTCTAGTGTTAACTGAATTATAAAGCCTTTAAGACCATGAACAAGAGCGCGCCTTTATGGTTATCTCAATCTTTCTTAATACCCTGTATTGCTTACAATAGAAGATGCCCACCAGGAGGACGACAGACCTCATTTGACTGTTTACGTAAAGAAATTTGTTGGTGAGCTTTTTGTTTGCTCAACTCTTTTTGAAACGGAGAGTTGGATTGGTTGCGAACAAGCCAGCGTATGTGGGACCCAAACCAGATTGTGAAAGATGATTGATATAGATACTGTGAAGTTGTGCACCTCCGAGGATATAGTTATGATGGCCTTCACTGGTTCGGATAACGGCCTAATAAAAATTACCGCTCATATTGACATGTTAAAATGATCTTCAGATCATCCTACGTATCATTATCCTCATGAATCTACAGATTAACATAGCTACGTTATGTTATGTTATGTTCCGGATTGGCAACTTCCTATGAACAAGGATTTGCACTCAAGCTAAAATATAGCAATGATCCCCACCCAGGAATGTCACTTCTAACGTGTGGTCGGTATACAGAAGTACAACAAGCAACTACTTCTAAATATCCCCAAATATGGTTCACGAGAACTCTGTCGAACAAGTTACCTAGTGCTGCTTTGTGACCATTACAAAACGCAGAACAGATATTAATTTGTATTCGGAGATAATACTCCATCGGTTAGTCTCCTCAAACCGGCCTTACCATTTTTGACAGCATTTATGTTTTGCTTTTTGATCACTGGGTTTGATCTGTGATTGTGTGGTTCTCTCGCCCGAGATGTTTCAAAACACTGCTGTTGTAGCATTATCGACCAAACAAAATAAGCCGTGCGAAACTCCCAGAACGAATGATCTACTTCCATCTACATGTGGATTGCAAGGAGGTAAAAAAACAAACTAAGACCCGCTGAAAAGAAGGGGATGAAGGTCACATGTTACAGCATTCGAACTACTTACAGGGCAAACATGTAGTTGAACGAACCTTGTGACAGTCATTATCACGTTCCGCTCATCAAAGGTGCCCAACGCAAAAAGCACAGATGAGTTATATTTAGTTTTAAGGTTTTGGTGTGCAAAAAACGTACCTTCGCAAGTAGCTGCACACAAGCGGAACTGCTTCCGACAAGGAATGTGCTGGTTGTGTAAGAAGTCAAACGTATTATCAGACAAATGTCAATGAAATGGAGTACAAATTCGATCAATGTCGACGGACGCTCGGCGTCTGTGGGAAACACTCATGTACAATTTTGTGAAGTCTTGGAGAATCGCAAAAAATATGCGAAGGCGGAACGCCTTGAAGAAAAGACGCCAGTTTGCAGCCAATGAACTACAACACATAGGCTGAAGGAGGAGGCCTCTTGGATTGCTGTATTTGCGACCAAAACTGACCTTCGAACCCCCTGATCTGTTTTTTTTTACACCCATGATTTCTCCCTGCTGAACTCGTCCACCACTAATTAGCCCATAAGTGAACTGAACTATTTGAAATTTCTCACTTGGTTTCTCCCTATTGTTTTGTTACAGGATTAGGCGTTGATCTGTCAGAGTGCTAGGTATACTGCACCAAAACTCGTACGCCACCATTCTGGAACTCAGACGCGGACTGAACAAAGCAGGCAACTGGCTGCCAATAATATGTGATCTGAACTCTTTCTTCAAAAAATCTGTTCAAGTCATTATAACCGTTTGTAAAAGCAAAAGCTTGACTGAATTTGAGTAAGCAAAATTCATGCTGGTAATTATTTCACTGAAGTATTTCTGCAGCAAAATGTATGAACATAGAAGATCCTCTGGTTAAATAGATATTGTCTAGTTTGGCATTAAAATAGAGGCAGCCACTCTCAGAAAAAACAACGTCGCGTAAAATTATGCGTTTGTGTATATAGAAGGTTCGTTGGAATTCAAAACTAGTCTCCTGGCCACAAGCGTTTAGTTCACTAGGTAATAACGGTTCTTTAGTAAACATCATGCTTATATGCACAACTTTTCACTTTATGCCCCCAAAACTCCCAGGTTTGTGCGACAGTCAGTCCGAAACCCGCTCTATAGCATGCTAGGTTAAATCGGTTTGTGAAACCAGGAATGTAGCTATTCAAATATATATGAATGCCGTAGGAATAGCTCCTGCGTTGAGGCTACCCACTTTAATTCGCTGTAACTAGATTCTTCCAGATGGCGACTATCAGTCGTTGCTTTTACTTGGTACATCCAACGTAATCGGCTCTGAATCAGATCTTACAATATCCCGTTTGTCCTAGTTAGCTTGAAGACTAATCTATTTTGGATCCAATCTAGCTGCATAATTAGAATTATCTTCCGCAGGGATTTCGAATAAACATGTTTAGGCACTCCACTATGCCGCTGCTATACTGTCCGATTTTTGTCACTCTGCTGTAGTGTAGAAAGTACAATGGCTCGGAGAATTGGAACTGAACGTCCACTTGCAAGTCATGATAGCGCTAGCAGTGGGCACATAGATGCTAAACGGAGTTCTCGCCATGTGAATCCAAGAAATTACTTCGACATTGGTTGTCAAGTTTTTAAACAGGGGGCTTCTGGGGTAGCGAAACATTTCACAACATTCAATGCCGAAATGCGTGATGCTTATTTTTGAAAAACCTAGAAAAGTTCCGTAAAATTACGTGTTTTGGAGCACTTATTTTAGGCGGAAACATAATGACCTTGGAGAAAATGCTGTGGATATACACAGCATTATGGCTTCTGTATAAGACTCCACAAAATTTAGCATATGAAACTTTCGTTCAATTTTTCTTTGACGCTGAAGCGCTTCGCGCGAGCAAGATTCCATTTCGACGCCACCGAACTGGCACACCATACTGATTGTCACGAAACCCCCGTGCACAATTTGTGGTAAAATGCAGATTACTTAGGCGGAGCCATAACTTTGCACCGTTCTATCTTGCGTAAATTTCACACTTGGCAAAGGTGGATGTACGGGCACTTCCTAGATCCAACGTACGTGAGTGGATGGATTTAGTAGAGATTCTAGCCTATTTGCGGGGCCAAATCTTTGAGGAATGACAGCCAACGACTCCATTTTTACAGAGCAAGATGCCCCCTAAAAAAGTAGAAACAGAGGTTACAACACATGCTTCCCTTTCTGACTTTTTTGCACGGCTATGAGTTGTAACATTAACGCTAATCATCCTCAGTCCGCCGTGGCTTTCAAAATTTCCTTCAGATATAATTTCTCCTGGACAGCAGAGTCTATGCATTTGAGTTGATTTCTTACTAGGCAGATGCATATAGTGCAGAAAAAATATTTTACATGGGTTTACTTTTATCCCCTTTAAACAATGACACTATTTTGGTATCAGTCGGTATCTGTGGAAAAAATTGATGTGCCCAGAGCTTGCAAACAAATAAAAAGCTGTTTGAACAGGCTATCAATTATACTCCTTCTCTCACAGATTTATGTTTAGCAAATCTTATCCTCGTAATTGATTTAGAATTGCCTATCTTCGAGTGGTTTGGACATAACGGTGTCTAAATGTGAACAACATGAGTGGGTAATAGGTCACTAATGATCAGTAAATCAACACGTTGACATTTTCAGTCAATTCTGAGACCCTGGATTCATTGCACGTATTAGACTTTCGGTTTACACATTTCTCTTAGTACTCCCAATACACCATTCTAACATTACCTTATGGTCCGAAATTTAGCCTCTTTTTAGCACGTGTTTCGTTCTTCATTCAGCCGAATGGACTAAACAGGTTTACTCACTGAATGGAGGACATTTTTCAGATTTGAGGAATCTGACGGTTATTGGAATGGTTTGATGGGAGCAATATTATTCTCACTGGCCAAGAAATGTGTGATGTTCTCGTTTTTGAATCTACTAGTACTAAATGCTGCCGTATTGCCAGTTTTGTTAAACCCAGCTTTCATTACTTCTCACGCGCATTGTCCCATTAAATGGAACAAAAAGTGCTCAAGAGCCCATGGAACTTCTGCAACAGATGCTTGGCATTTAGCCTGGTTGAAAACAACTTTGTCCCATGGCTAGGAGGTTTATTCACGGCTAACTGGACTTTTGAATGCATGACGGCATGATTTTGTTCCGCTCAGCGCTCCACAAAGCCTTCACTATATGCGCTCTTTCAAGATTCCGCTATGGGAAAAGCATATAATCCCGAAGCGTACAACCGACATCTCAGATGCACCCAGTTGCAAGTGGCACTTCTCCAATCATGATCAGGAGTATGGAGAGGCCTGTTACATAGTCCATAAACTGTTATTAGGAACCATCCGTTTACATTCAGATCTTCAGATCTGAACGGGCCGATAGCTCATGTGCGCTGAGATCGCCCGTGGTAAGTAAGCCCGTTTAACAAAAGGACGGGGTGACTATGACAACAGCCGGTAAACATTTTACCGCTGAATTCCAGGGTTAAATAGGACGGGAACACATACAGAAGTGGTGAAAAGCTCTTGTGAGTTGACACGTTATAAGTATTATCCTTGCATTGATGCCGTTCGGTTCATCCAAAATTCTTCCAATCTTATCATCGGAGAATCACTTTGAACCCGAATGAAACAAATCCCGTCGACTAACTTGTAAAGATCCATGCCAGCAAAATGTATTTTCAGCTTGCCATAATCTTCCGTAATAAGTTACCAAAGTTTTCCGACCGTGGGTCTTTTGTGTTTTTTTGCATCACTTTATAAATGATTCCAAAGTTGCACTTTTGGAATCGAAATTGGTTAGAATTTCAGCTGTTTAAAGAACTCAACAGTCCAAGCTGTAATCTGACGATTATTTTTTCTTTCACTTAAGACCAACCCATAGAAGCCAAATGGGTCACGTTTTTACCCATTTGTTATTATGGAGTTGATTTCATCTAAGTACGTATAGATTGCAGCAAAAGTGGCACGCTCCCAAGACCAGTGAACACAGCCAGTATCCTTTGTCAATTCTGAAATTTGGCTTTTATGCGTATCCAATAACGCGGCTCCGACCGACTGTCAAGTAAATGAAGTCTGCAAAGCTGAGGGCCGACATTTGGGAGCCTATTTTCTTCCGGAGGACAGTGCCGCAAATTTTGAGGCGCTAGTCACAGAAGGAACTCTTTTCTACCCATATATCTCTGTTGTGGCAAGCAGTATTTTACAGACGGACCTCCTCTTATCGGAGCTTGCGGTCGCATATGGGATTCGCGGGTGTTTGTCCAGTTATTTTCATTTAGATTTACTTCCATGTTAAACCTTTAGCTGTAGCCACTGTAACCCATACAAGATAAGCCGACGTGTAGCCCGACCGTCAAAACAAGGTGGAGGTTTTGTTCGATGTATATGCATATATATGTACCGTTTCTAAGTTTTGGTATACCTAGAATTGATGATAGGGTTGCGGATGAGTAAAAAAACACGGTATGTCGTTAACCTGGTTAGTAAATTTCATGAATGTACCAGGATATTTGTAGCTCGGGTGCGCTCTTTGGTCGTTGATCTGGTTGATCGGGCTTCAGTATTTCAAATTTCTTGTGGGTTTCTTCGGTTGGTGGTTCGTTGCTCAAGATTTAACATGCGAAAAACTCTGAAGGAGAACACATGGAGAAAAAGCCACGAGTCTTTATGCTACCGTAAATTCTAAGATCTTGGATAAACTCCTGCTTGCTTCAGCTAGCCGTAACTAACACCGCAACATTTATGCAAAACGTCAGATTGTGGTGGTAGGATTCCACATGCAATCAAAAGCCCTGTGGCCGCCTTCATTTGCTACTAGAAAATCAGGAAATTTTACTTTAGTGATCGTATTAAGTTTTGGCCTAGAACTCCAAATAGCACAGAAGAAACCAATGTTCTCAAAAGCCTACAGCAATCAGCCATAATACGCGTGGACTCCTCGAGGTTTTTCTCGCTAAGCCTATTGGTAACATCATGAAAGCATACATCAGCTGAAGTTAAGTTATTCAAAGGAAGCTCAGCAGTTTATCTGAGTTCACTCGCGGAAGAACTGCCTCATATTTGGCTATCAGGGAGTGTCGGTGCTATTCACATCGATTAATGAACGCACACGGAAATTTGTGATCTATTGCTTAAGGGATAAAATGAAACCTTGAGGCAATATTTCAGTGACACGTTTGCTGCCATCGGCAGAGTTAATACGAGTG